TTGCATTATGGAAAGGCCATTGCAGAGCGCTTTCCGTAGTCTGGCCGCTCCAAAGGGGAGGAGGAGTAACGTGACTGCCTCAAACACTACCCTATACGGCACTTTCCACCTCCTGATGCTATGGTCGACCTGTTTATCCGTCACGTGTACAGTGACGGACTACATGCCATTTCCAATCTTCGCTTTTCCAAGACGGTTTCCCGGCTTGGCCGTGAAAACCGTGTCAAAGAGCTTCAAGTCATTGAAGCCCACTCGGCCTTCTTCACATCCAGCCATTCCCCCTTTTCTACCCAGAGATTCTCTAGCCACTTTGCCAGCTTTTCGTCATCCGTCGGTAGAGTCTCGAGGGGAAACCTGCGAACATGGACGTGAAATTTGTGTCCAAGTCGAGAGCTCAGCCCGGGTACGCTCAAAGTGTCCCACATGGTCGGCGCCGCATGGAAGTCTTTTTCTCTCTGATACGCAATCGTCACATCGTACACGGCCTTCACGTGGGGCGCCTTCCTGAGGTGTTGGACGGTGGTGATAAATCCTTTCGTCCTAGGATACAGCAAATGCATAGGCTGCGGTCGACCCGACTCCTTGCACCAGACGATTGATTGCTCATACTTTTTCTGTGTGAAACGAGTGGCCTCGCTGAAGCTGATGAGCCCTATTTATCATCATCAGTAAGGTGTTCACCTTGAAGGGAAAAGACTCTCAATTGATGCACTTACAGGTCGGCCACTGCCTATTGACGATACCCGAGAATGCCCTGTCAAGCTCATGCTTGTCTTTGGCCCAGTTACGACTCACCATGGGCATACCCATCGCCCATAGACCCCAACCAAGAAATGGAACTATCCGCAGCTGAATCTTGGCAAAGTAACGGCAACGACCCAGCATCCCGGCTTTGATCGCGAGAGCTTGGATCATGTAAAAGTCCGCCCATCCGACGTGGTTGGCGACTACTACAGCCGACTCCCCGCGGGGAAGGGCATCGCCGGAAAATGTAATGTTGGCGCCATTATATCTTTCAAAGATGATCTGGATCCAGTACCAAACTGTCTCGGCGATCCGTGACGAGGAGTTGTACACGAAATCCGGAGCGAGCCATTTCAGCGGGAGCTGGAGTGAGATGGCGGTATCTGCCAAAAGCAACCAAAGAACCCACGGCGCTAGAATGGCAGCTCCTCGGAAGTGAGTGAACACGTTGCCGTGGCCAGCCATGACCGTTGAGAAGTCAATCGTCAGGGCTCACTCTAGTGGAATCCGAGACCGAGGCGTAAGAAGATGAATCGATGCACGAAAATGATTACACTCTGAGTTATTTCGCAACTGGCGACGTCCCAAAAGAAAAGATTAAGGTTGGCCGTCTAGTGGGCGAGCCGAAGCGCGGCAAACCGATCTACAACCCAAGACACCCTGCCCTAGACCAAGGGATGTTTCGAAAGGGAGCCGCGTGCGCGCGTGACCTTTGGGCCAGCAGATCAAGGGTGAAGGTTTCGAACGAGCGGGCGATGATCCGGGGTTCACTCGTTCCAGAGATGCGCGTTCCTCTTCCCGCTCAGTGGATGAGCACAATTACAACCGTATTCATTGCTGCCAACGAGGAGGAAGGTCTAAATTTTGGCGATCGTGGGCCGAGGATCTTCTCAAAGGACATGATTGCGACAGCACGGGAATCGGGGAAAAGGAAACACGATGCTGCTGTGGCTGGCTTCTGCTAGTAGAGACGTCCGGTCCCGCCCAAATTCCCAAACGGGGTAAAATGACGGCATGGACTTTTGGCAGAGGTTAATGAATGATCTCCGTGGGCCGACTGACAAACGGCGGGCTTAACTCAATTATGTGAGTGAGGAGCCCCCTCCAAATCACTCAAAGACAGGGATTTCGCGTTCCTGGCCGTTAATCACATGGGCCGAGCGAGCCTGGAAGGTCTCGAAGGGACGAGTGAGACGTCAAAGTGCCAGCATTGAAGCACTCGACAGCTCTACGACGTGCCGGATTTCATTCGACATGCGACCAGATGTGCACACTGGGCACACAGACAGAGGGGTGCTCGAGTGCCAAAGTTGGCTGCATATATAAGCAGTCGTATGAGCGTTTTCACAATGCTCAAAATAGGCCATCAAGTGTGAGGTCCAGTTAAGGGACTCTTGGCTTTTTTCCCGGCTCGTCCGATGTCGACGCGGTCATTGGACCGAGGTCTGTGTGGATGGGAGACTTGGAGAGATGGGATTTACGCGCAGAGATTCACAGGCTACCGAGATGATTGCCTCGCAACAAGAAACTTTTGGACGCGCCGCTGGCTAGCAGAAATGCAAGCGCGCACGTGTGCGTCTGCCATGGAGAGGTGTTGATCTAGCAAGGGGTCAGAATTGTGACACGTTCCGTACGGACGTATGGGCTTCTACTTCTGTCTGGCGAGGGCTCTCGTGCATGGGAATCTGACGATTCCAAGACGAGCAATTCTGATAAGCGAGCAAACAAGCAAACATGCTCCTCGCATACCACCAGGGGTCTCAGGGTCTGGGTCTGTGTTGGGGACTCGTGGTTGGAGTTTGGAGGACTGTTGGTCCTTTGGAGACGGAGCTGATGCCGGCGCTGGGGAGAAGAACTGGAGCGTAGGTGGATGGGACGCCGAGTCAAGCAAGTCAAGCCACACGAAAGCATTCCAGGCAGACGAAGCAACAGCAGCAGCAAGGAGGAGGGCCAAATGCCGCACCCGAGCCTCTCGCTCCATGTCTCTACTGACACTATCTGCTCGTCTTTGTCGGAAAGAGGACAGCTGAGAGTAATGAGGATAACGGTCGAGGCCCCCGTGGACGAATATTCGCTCACAAATGCTACGTGAACTTGGCCTAGAACGGGAGCTGCGAATGGGAACCCCTCCATTCCTCCCCGCTTGTCCGGTGCAGCACTTTGTGCGCTCTGGCGGAACTTGGAAGCCTCTGAAGCCTCCTTTTCCCAGCCGTACTCGGTCTGCCCTCGGGCCGTTCGTTTGTACAAAGCCCAGCCGACACTGAGAGCATTCGAAAGCTTGGGTACATGGGTTCTGGGCTAGGTACTATGATTCAATATCACAGTACGGATACAGAGACAAAGACGTGAGAGAGAGAGAGAGAGAGAGAGAGAGAGAGAGAGACAGAGAGAGGCCCTGGCCAGCCACGGGCACGCCGCTGCTGGTCTTCACTCAACCGCCAACGGATCGTAGGCTTAAGGGTCTAGACCAGGAACCGTCGCCCGCCGTCCACGGAAGGCGCCTTGCTTACCCCCAGCCTATGTCAGTACCGGCGCCAACACAAAATTCCAATATTTGTCACACAGTCAATACTGGCTACGCTGGGTGCCGCTTCTCCTCGGCCTCACCATAGCTAGAGCTCGTCCCTGCAAGCTGCCCGAGTAGGCAGCTATTCGACATAGCATAGCCCTTTCCGGTGACGGATCTCGAGGGGCTTCTGTTCGTCAGCTTCGTCAGAATCCCACTCTAGCCGACGTTCTTTCTCTCGCGGTAAGGCAGACGAACTAAGGGGACAGAAGTGCGTGGAACCGCCGATGATTCCGAAAAAGCAACGAAATCGGAGTTGATCGTTGTAGTTTTAGGCCAAATCAGCACCGTCTAACTAAGCACACCTAAGGTACCTTCGAGTCTTGATGACTGGGGGGGACCCATTGGCATTCGGCCTTAACGCAAGGATCCGTCTCCGGGGTTTTCTTGGAAGCCTCTACGAACCAGACCAACAGACTGCCTACCTAAGGCTTTCCAAGTCAGAGTTGCGAACGCCTACCTACTGTTAGCCAGCCGAACTGCCATTTTCTCTCCCTTCATTACCATCATTACTGAGGGGCTCAACATTGATTCGATCCGAGTGACGGGCCGCTGCTACTACTGCTGCTGCTGCTACTGCTGCTGCTGAAACCCCGCATATTCATTCACCCTCTCGTCATCCTTTTCGCTGCTCTCATCCAAACGACGTACCAGAACTCATTGGGCTTCCTCATTGATTGACCTGACTGGATCAACGACCGCCTTGGCCGCCCGCCCGTTTTCGCCTGCTGCTCTCGACTTCCAAGTTCCGCCATCTTGTCTTAGAAGAGGGCGGTGGCGCTGCATCTTGTCATCTCGATTCGCGACAAACATTGGCCACCAGCACAGAAGAGAGCCACAGCAAAAGGACGAAACCAAGGGCTCTTAACGCGCCCCCCGTCTCTACCTTACCTTCTTGGTGGTTTCTCCGCTCCGCCGTCATCCGTTCTCTCCTTATCACCTCTGCCCTTTTCTGTTACTACCTTACTACCCTCTTCCAACCCATTTCCAGACTCCCCTTACCCCCCAACCCCAGGCCCCCGATCCCAAGCTGTTAGGCGAACAGTGATTACCTCAGGTCCAGGATAACTGTGTGCCCAAGCTTGCTTGATTGAGCCTGAACCTGAGCCGGAGCCAGAAAAAGCCAGACTGCAACCGTCCAACCACCCCCGGACGCACGACATCCATTCTCTTCGTCTGGACTGTGTCAAACAATTCTAAAACAGGGCGGATTAATCTACCCAGCCTACCCCGACCCTTCCACTCCCCGCGCCTTGCTCGTCCCCTCGTCGCAACCGCATAGCATCCTCAGACAGCTCGGACGCCAGAATTGGGTTTCACGTTCGAGAAGAGCTTCTCAAATAACCATAATCGTGGTTCGGAAGAGCACAGCGCATGATACAGCCGTGAACGGCTCGATCCCTTTCCACCGCAACATCCCCTGCTTTAACGGACGACAAACCACCGTCACACAGCATCGCATTGCCAGTTCCAAGTGGGAGACTGACCATCGCGCATCCAATCTTCCTAGGTAAGCCTTCAAGTCATCTTGTCTACTCCGGCTGGTCGGGTACGCCACGAATCGAGACGTATTTGTAAAGACATGACCCCCCGCTATAGCCTTGGTGTTTACCTCTTTCACATGACGACATGAATTGCTGCGCTTATTAAACCCTTTCTCTCTTCGTTGCGATGATTCTAGATCGACACAATGACTGACCTCGGAAATTTAGCAGCTTATCGCTCCCCGCCGAACCAGTCATCGTCTCCAGCACGCAAACAGTCTGTGGGCGAGCTTCACGAGAGGGCAGCGATGGCTTCGTCGTTGTCGCCTGACCAGTACGGGAAGCAGCCGTCGCAGGGCCAGTATGGTGGCGGCGGCTCTGGCTCCGACCAAGAGCGGGGCCCCTTGAGCTCCTTGAATTTGGGCTTTCTCAAGTCCCTGACAGAAAAGAGGACAACGCGAGGTAGGAACGACGATATATCCGTGCCAGAAGGGACACTGTTCTGACAACGCGTATTCGTAGATGGCCAAACACCCAAAAGGAGAGGACCGAAACCCGACAGCAAACCTGCTCTAACTCGGCGACAAGAATTGAACAGACAGGCACAACGGTGAGTGACGAACAACATAGCTGGGGGATCAAGCGAAACGACCGGCGTACTGACGGTGGAGTTAACAGTACGCATCGTGAAAGAAAAGAGCTGTACATTAAGGCTCTGGAAGATGAGGTCCTTCGATTGAAAGAAATCTTCAGCAACATATCGCAAGACAAGGACAAGGTGGCCGAGGAGAACAGGCAACTCAAGCAGCTCCTGGTCCAGAACGGAATCCCTCTTTCTCACTATGGTGACGATATGGTCAGCAACCCTAGCGGAGGCTATACATCGAGCGCCAGCCAGTCGGGCCACAGCTATGGCCAGAACGCCTACACACCACCTTTGACGTCGACGACAGCGCCGTCGGTGTCGCCTTCGTCTCACGGTCCGTCTTACCCCCACGGTCTGCCCCCTCCCCTTCCCCAGATGGGCAGCCAGCAACTGCAACAAAACAGACAAGGGCAGAGCTCTGGTAGAGGTGTGGACTTTGAGCAAGCGGGCATTGACTTCGTCTTAACGTACGATAACCACCATCCCTCGCCCTCGAAGGCATACCTATCACCTCCCCCGCAGTGAAAAGTACTTGTCATATCACCAAGTCCTGGACATCATCGGGAGTCGGGTGGTGTGAGCGATGATTGCAACGAACGGAAGAAGAGTTTGCTGACGAGTGCGATTTTATCGAGGGTATGTAACAGTCTCGAGAAACCCTGCATGAATCACATGCCTTGGCTGTTGGAGAGATCAAGCGAGATGGGCGGCGAGCCCTGCGGACACGCGCTGATGGCCTCATGCCCCCCGGCGCCCTTCCCGGAGCTTACACCTGATATCCCGTTCGGGTACAGCAATGTCAACGGAGACCTGGACTCCCAGCAGAGGACGTGGGAAGTGAGCAAAGGCAGCCTCTCAGCCCTGCTTGATCTCAGCAAGAAGCTGAACCTCGATGGTGAGGTCACGCCGGTTATGGCTTGGGGTATGGTCCTCGGCCACCCCAGAGCTCACGAACTTCGTGCCGAGGATTTCCAGAAGCTCACTGACGAGCTCAAGGATAAGGTCCGATGCTACGGGTACGTATACATACTATTCTTCACACCTGTTCTGGCTTAAACTGACCGTGACTAGCTTTGGTGCCGTTATGGAGGAGTTCGAGGTCAGGGACGCGTTGGAGAACGTCTTCTGCTCCGGACCGGAAATGATGAACTACGCCTACTAGTAGCGTCTGGCATGAACCCAGGGAAAAGAGGGAGCACTTCATCATGAGATTCAGTGAATCTTTTGTATGCATGACTTGGTGTGAGGAGAGGCTCAAACTAGAAACATTTGGAGCGTATTCTGGGAATCTTGGGGACTACTTTTGATACCACGGCCTTAATGATATGTACATTTCTGAACGGTTTCAAAACAACATCGTGAAGATATGAGCTCGCAAACAGACTGGTGACATGTATCATGAGGCGACTTCTCGTTTAATGTGAAGAAATAGGCGAAAGGTACCTGGCGGTTACGAGCGAATGGCTTGGTGTTTCGCGGCCACGATGCAGCTGGTCGTGGCTGGCAGTGGCCCCTCGTCGCGTGGAAACGAGTGGCTGTCAGTCGCCGCCAGGTGTCGAGACACAAGACTTTGAAATTTTGCCCGCTCTGCCCCACAAAGTTCACCCCACCAAATCCGAACGACGAAAATCAACGGCGAGAGGAGGTGTGCACCACCCAAACCCTTGACGACTTTTCCATCTTTCAGAAGCCCGAAAGCGCTGCTGCCACCCCCCTTTCCCCCTACCGAAAGACGCACAGCTAGACCGACTTCGATTTCGACTTCGCCCTCAATAGCCAAGGAAGAAAAATCATTTTCAACATGGCTCAGGAAATGGACTGGGTCAAGCTCGTCGAGACTTGCCCGGCCGGCGATGGTTGGGGCCCGCCCGTCACCACCGAGACTACCTTGAACGGTGTCCCTTATGCGCCCTTCTCCAAGGGCGACAAGCTTGGTCGCATGGCCGACTGGACCTCCGAGGGCAAGGACAGAGACGGACGTGGTGGCAGACAGCAGTACAACCGTAACTACCGTGGTAAGGATCACCTTCCTCTAGCTTCAGCTACGAAACCCTCCACGAAGACGACATCATCGCTAACTCTCTTCCCTCCCTTCAAGACCAACAAGTCTACGGTGCCGGCCACGCCATCTCCTTCAACGCCCCTCCCGCCGAGGACGAGTCCACCTTCTCCGTCGTCAGCAACACCCGCGACAGCACCAAGACAAGATTCGGCCGTGGCGCCGTCTTCACCCGCGGCCGCGGCCAGCGTGGAGGTCCCGCTCAGAACGCTCGTGGTGGCCGAACGACCGTCGCCCGTGGCGGCCAGCAGGGCGGCCGTGGAGGCTACGGAGGAGGCTTCGAACGGGGCGGAAGAGGCGGTGGCCGTGGTGGCCGCCGCTTCGGCTGGAAGGACTACGACAAGCCCGCCCGCAACCGTGACGCCAGTGTTAACATCAAGGCCGACTGGAAGCTGCTCGAGGAGATTGACTACAACCGCCTCGCCAAGCTCAACCTGGATGCCGACGAGGGCGAGGAGATTGACGCCTACGGCTTCGTCTACAACTACGACCGCTCCTACGACAAGCCCGCCGTCAAGGGTTTCGAGCGCAAGCTCAACGCCATTGACCGCGCTGCGTACAATGTTACGACTTCTTCCGATCCTGTGATCCAGGAGCTCGCCGACAAGGACGAGGCCTCCATCTTCGCCACCGACAGCATCCTCTCCATGCTCATGTGTTCCCCGCGGTCCGTCTACCCCTGGGACATTGTCATCTCGGTGCAGGGCAACAAGGTCTTCTTCGACAAGCGTGATAACGCCGCGCTCGACATGGTCACTGTCAACGAGAACGCCGCCGACTCCCCCATGGACGCCTCGGACGGCTCCAAGGACAGCCTCAACATGCCCGGCGCTCTCGCCGAGGAGGCTACCTACATCAACCACAACTTTGCCAACCAGGTCGTCGTCGAGAGCGAGGGCCAGAAGCTCGAGATGGCCAACGCCAACCCCTTCTACAACGCCTCCGAGGACACGGACCCGCCGGCCAGCAAGGCCTACAAGTACCGCAAGTTCGACCTCTCCACCAACAGCGAGGAGGACAACTTCTACCTTGTCGTCCGTACCGAGGTCGACGCCGTCCAGAAGAACGCCATCAGCGGCGACGACCAGCTCGTCACCCTGCACGCGCTCAATGAGTTCGACAACAAGGCCCAGGGCAGCGGTGGTGCCCTCGACTGGCGGACGAAGCTCGTCTCCCAGCGCGGTGCCGTCGTCGCCACGGAGATGAAGAACAACTCTTGCAAGCTCGCCAGGTGGACGGTGCAGAGCATCCTCGCCCGTGCCGACGTCATGAAGCTTGGGTACTTTTTTCCCCCTCTCTTTCGTTCATCGCCTTTGTAATGATCGAACCCGATGCTAACACATTTTCTACAGTTTCGTCTCTCGCGCCAACCCCAAGTCCAACGACAAGCACGTCATCCTCGGCGTCGTCGGCTGGAAGCCGCGCGACTTCGCCAACCAGATGAACCTGTCTCTGTCCAACGGCTGGGGTATTGTCCGCACTATTGCCGACATGTGTCTCAGACGCGAGCAGGACGGCAAGTACATCCTCGTCAAGGACCCCAACAAGTCTATCCTCCGCCTGTACGAGCTCCCCTCTGGCGGCCTCGACGGCGACGACGAGGTGGAGGAGGTGCCCGAGGCGGGTGAGGGTGATGAGGAGTAAGCGTTTACTCGCGGAGAGTACTAACCTGTTTGCTCGAAATGAACATGAGCACCACATTACACACAGAAACTACAAACCCTCGTATCTTCAGTAACTCTTCTGAAGATTTGAATACGCTTGAGGCATTTAGCTGAGAGACGCGGGCTAAATCGGAGAGAGATGGAGTGAGAGAGAGAGAGTGAGAGAGCAAGGGAAGGCAGGGGAGTGGAAAAAGGTTTTAATGCCAGTTCAGTCCAAGACAGCCTGGATAAAAGGCATGGCTTGACAATGGAAGTCGGGCCGCCGCCGGGGTAGAGTGGTCAATGATGTAAAAAGTCTTTCTTCGATTTGGGGGGTTAGGCACGTATAGACGTCTATGGAGTAACGCATTACGGACATTTCTTACTTTTTTTGTGTTTTGCCTTGGCTGTGGTTGTGATGATGTCGTAACTTGATTCCCGGAATATGGGAGCTATTATGTTGTTTGACTCATACTTGATCTATATGTCATGATACCTGTACGATTTGTGGCGGCAAAATAGGCCTAATTGTCCACTAGTATCTCATGTCGGCAATAGCTTGATAGAGGCTGTCTTGACAAAACGTCAAAACCTCGCAGAGTGATGGCGGAAGCCTTCCTACTAGGCGCAGAGACCGAGGGTTAAGAATGAAATGTATTCGTTTCACACTCCTATCGAGACAGAGAGCAGATGTTGGAATCTTAAATCATTCATTTGATATGTATTTGTTATTCTACCTATGCCCGTCAGTGCGTAGAATAGCTCACCTTTTGCGAACGTCTCTGTACATAATTACCCTTTAGTAGTAGTAGCAGTAGTAGTGTATACTAGTACATACGTATCACTTTCGATGTTTATAAGCTCAAAGGCTGTTCAAAATTTATCTTTCATTGTCCCCTAGTCCTGGATGAAAAGTTTTTGGAATCTCTCTAAAATGCCCACAACGCCAGATGTCCATGATAGGATGCCATTCATGCCAATCATTAAACCCACCAAGAAAAAAACGAAAAGTCTTTTTTTCCATGATTCCCTCTCCTCCCTTGAAGCTTTTTTCTTCTTTTTTGCCCTTGTCATTTGCCCAAGCTGTGGAGGGTTCCCTCTCGATTTTTATCGTTTGACTTTTTACTGCTCCTCTAGAATCTCTCCTTCATGCGCGCCGCGACCGTCCGCAGGTTGCCGTAGACCTTGGAAGGCGGCTTTCCGAGAATCAAGCTGACGATAGACTCGCGAGCCATGTGGATGTTCTTGTATGCGCCGAGAATGTGGATCTTGCTGTCGGCCAGTACGATACGGGTCTTGCTGGCGTTTTCGATGGCGACTGAATAAGTCTCGTGTCAGTAAACAAGGGGGCTTCTCTGTCCGGACTTGGAGTTGTTTCCATACACTTTGTCTTGCCGTCCTTGCCTGCAATGCGACCAATGGCACGGCCTTGGGCCTCGTTACCCATAACCTGCTTGACATCGCGAATCTCAAAAGTCTCGACTGGATAGTTTGTCAGTTTCCTGCACCAGCATTCGATTGAGGATCGGCCCAGCTTACTGTAAAGGTCGTCCAAACGCAGCAGCGCAATAGCATCGTCGACATCGAAGCCCAAGGTAAAGGCCTTGACGAAATCCTCGCCCTTTTGCAGGGCACCGTCCTCGGTGGTGTGCTTCGAGGTCCGGAGCTCAACCTGTTTCCGGCGGGGGTTCATGCGGACCTGGAGCTTGAGGTGCTCGACGAGCGGGGGGTAGACTGTAGAGCGTAAAAAATGTTAGAGAGAGAGAGAACGGCTGCGTCATTGCCCGTGGCATAGGAACTCTGTGAAGCGTACTCTTGGGCCAAGAAGACTTGAGCGGGGTGAACCGGTGAGGAGGCACGGGGACCTTGCGAGTCTCTATTCTGGTGACGGGGTCCTGGGCACAGAATACGTCTTAGTTTTTCCCAGTGTTCTCTTGGATCTCAGAAAGGGTCTGTCGCACAATGTCTCTGGCGGGCGCAAAGCGCGGGCGGTTCTCCTCGTCGACAACCATTTCGCCTTCCTCTCCGTTCTGCGGCACGCTGGGCAGGATCGCATCCATCTCCTCGGGAAGGGTAGGTGCATCGAGGAGGAGCTCCTCGTCTTGCTGAGGCTCTTGAAAGGCCGCCTCGATTGGCGGGGCAGAAACCTCTACCTGCTTCGCGGTCGGGGCAGGCATGTTGGGCGACTTTGCGTTTTTTTTTTGGTTTCCGAAGGGTATCGAGGGGGTCGGGAGAAAAGGCAGCGATTTTCGATCGAGGTTGTATGTATCGCCTCCGTGGTGGTGTTTCTTTGGGTTGTGTGGTATCGAGCCGAGTCGGTCTGGCGGGGTGGGCAGGCGGTCGTGAAGAAAAAAGCGGCGGGTGCCAGTCGTGAGCCAGTATCGATTTATCGCCGAATTCCCAAATTTTTGTGTTTCGTTATCGATAAGAGGATAAGGCTGGGGGGTCCTCATGGGCTACCTTACCTAAGCACTTTAGCACCGTGCACCGTTACCCCATTCAAGCCTTTCGGAGATCTTATGTCAGCAAGCCAGCAACGGGCCTGATGGCCTTGGACCAGCATTGGGCCCAGACTCGAAGCACGGGCCATGATGTGCCTCTGAATTTTTCTGCTGGAAGCGCGGACGCCCCATACGTAAGGTGCCTTTGGAACGGGTCCAGCCGGGTTCAGCGAGGTACCCAGAGCTGAGGTAGCGCGTCATGGATGACTTTTCACAGGCTTGCCCTTCCCTGGCCCAGCTTTGCATCTCAGTCATTTCTGCATGAGCGCATGAAATGTGCTAACATTTGCCGTGCCTCCCTCGATACTTGCTCTGCTTCAACCCCTCTGACCGTGTTGATCTTTGGTCCATTTGTTGCTGCGGTAAATAAACAGGGTCGTTTCTCCTCCCTCTTCATTCTTTCTTCTTTTTGCCGTCTCTCTGTTCAACCAAGAGACAGGATGAGCTTGAGAAATGTCTAACGCTTCGTCGACTCTTCTTGGGCGTCGCTTCTGGTCTTGCGCCTGCGGATCGGCGCAGACTCTGGGTTTGCGAGGAACGACCATCACAACAGCGACAACGAGAAATACCTGTCTAAAAGCCAGTCAATCTACAGTCAATCCTTCCCTCCCTAGGCCGAACACCTTCAGAAGATCGATACACTCCGGGTCACAACACTCGTTTCCTCGGCCGAATATCCACAATGCGCGACGAAGCTATACAGGCAGCGGATTGCTGCTGGTTGGGTTTACCACAGAACTCGCACCCACGAAAGCGTCGGCAGCTTGCGCAGTTGCTGCAGAATCCGCTACGAGCACCGGTCTGACGAACGAGTCCAATATCTACCAACTGGCCCGGCAAGCATGGCGACGAGGCATACATACCGATTCGAGGGGCGCCGTGAACCCGGCCGAGAGGAGGCACCATAGCTCCAAGAGTGGAAAGCAGGAGGAAAAGGGTTCGACAACCCAATCGAAGCAGGATACCACCAAGGCTGGGGAGCAGGGCAAACCAGACGCGCCGGACCCTGACGCCGACTCGATCGCATCCACCATGTCGAAATATTTGCACATTCCAAAGATGCCGCACCGGCCCACCCGGGATGAGCTATTGGCCGCAGCGAACGGCTTCCTGGGTCGAATGAAGGTTCGATTCAAGTGGGCGTCTATTAGGAGTATGAGGCCGTGGAATATTGATGAATGGGGCGCCTTCGTTTCGTGGTTCCTGTTTGGTCATCTAGTCTGGATTCTGGTCGGTACCACCACCTTCTTCTCGCTGATCATTCTCAGCATCAACACCGTCTTTGCACAAGGTAAGCTCCCTTCTGTATCCGTGCCATGTACAGCTGCTGATCGTTGGATACAGAAACCCTTGCCAAATGGGTTGGCGACTCTTTGACCGAGTCTGCAGGCGTCACGGTAGTCTTCGAATCGGCAATTGTTCCCAAGTGGGGAGATGGCGTAATCAGCTTCAAGAATGTCTTTGTGTCACGGCGACCAGGACAGGTCAAGTCTTCGGTCAGCAAGGGCTCTTCCGAGAGTGCTGCGGCCATGGCTGCAACTGGGAACCAGCCTGATCAGGACGGCCAAGTTTTGGAAGAGGACGACGGTAACTACACACAATACGACGTGTCAATCGCAACTGTCAATGTGACATTGTCATTCTTGAAGTGGTGGAACGGCAAGGGCTTCCTAAAAGATGTTGAGGTCAAGGGCGTTCGTGGTGTTGTTGATCGCACGTCTGTGCAATGGTCAGACGAGGTGGTCGACCCTCTATCCTACCGCCATACCCACGAACCCGGCGATTTCGAGATTGACTCTTTCAAACTCGAGGATCTACTAGTTACTGTTCACCAACCCAAGGGTTTTCGACCATTCTCCGTCAGCATCTTCTCATGCGAATTGCCACAGCTCAGAAAACAGTGGCTCTTTTACGACTTCCTATCGGCAACCCACATGTCGGGATCTTTTGATGGCTCTCTATTCACCATCCACCCCCGTCAGGTACACGGTACTATCGCTAGCGAGAACGGAGACATGGCAGAGGACGTGGGCGAGCCGGCAGCTTGGAAGAAGTTCAGCCGCTTGCGCATCGATGGTCTCAAAATCGACCACCTCAACCGTGGTGTAGAGGGACCATTCGGTTGGATCTACGAGGGTAATGTCGACATTGTCGCAGATGTTATGTTCCCCGCCGACGTTGACGATGGCATCACCAAAGCCATGTCAGACCTTTACGACCAGCTTGAGGACGTCGTGATATCCAACCGCATGCGTCTGCTCCAGAAAGATCTGCTCGACATCAAAATCGTGGGCTCTTCCGCTTCGGATCTCTGGGGATCTACACCTACTAAGGGCCATCTTTCCCAAGCTATACCAGAGCTCACTGAAGAAGCCCCCGAGAAGCCCACAGACCCCGAATCTTCCGACCCCTCCAGTTCTTCCGAGTCATCAGAAGAAGACCGGAGATATTTAATCATGGATCTCCGCATCCACATGAACGATGTCAAGGCCGCCGTGCCCCTTTTCACAAAGGACATTTCCTACATCAACCAAGCGCTCGTTCGCCCCATCGTGGCTTACATCAACGCCAAGAAGACATATATCCCAATCAACTGCCGCATAGTCAAACGCCACACCGATTTCGACGGCAGCTGGTCCATCTTTGACTGCGGCCTGATGGACGACATGTCAGCCGAGACTTACGAGGCTTTTGCACGCGATATTGAGGACCAGCAAAGCCGCGTTCGTCGGCTGAAAAAGGTCGGCTTCTGGACTCTGAGTCTTGCTGTCCATGCCCTCTTTATGGGCATGGCAGGCAATGTCATTTAAAAACTTACCCTCTCAACTCCCTCTCCTCTCCCCTTGGCTTCTTCTCTTTTTTTCCTGCCCTCTACGTGAGCACGGCTGTCTTTTAATGAGCGCATGATATTCGAAAACGGGAGGCGTTCTACAAATCTTCTTGTATAGATGGAGAAAGGGGGCAAACAACGACCATCATGTACATATACAAAGGGCAATCAATCCCCTCTACACAGGAGGAAGAAGGGATATTGGGTTCCATCAAACCACTCAATTCTTTTCTTTCCCTTCCACCGGATTTTCTTCTGGGAGGCGAGGCGTTTTACACGGGGAACATGATGTATACGGGGAAGAGCAAACAACAAAATAATTGATACCCCCTTTTTTGACAACATATGCTTCACTGAGACGCGTCGGTTGCGATGTTTACATGTTGGATACCATCTCGTTTTGATAGTATGAGTCACTCACACGGTACTGGAAGGCATGAAATTCGTTTGCGGGCAGCATGACGCGCGCGCATGAATAATCAAACTTCGTACTGTCAAGGATCCCGCGCGACGCGTATCGCAACCACAACCTACTCATCTCCACAAAGCCTTTTTTTTTTTCCCCCGCGGACCCTTGTTTTCGGTTAAACGAAGCTGTATAGCTACAGGAATGTCCCCCCCCCCCCCCTTCCCCCCTCTATTGATGGTCTAGATACGAAACTGGGGTTCGGAAGCTCAGAGGCCTGGGAGTAAATCTTGTCTCTCGACTTCGGGTGGAAGAAGGGGAATATGACAAGAGGAGAGCGGGCGGCTGCTTGGTTTCGAATGAGATTAAACCACCAGAATCTTCCCAAGTTCTTTTCAAGCAAGCTGGTCTGCTATTTCTCTTCGGAACCTAGATGGTAGATGGGAGGTTTGATGGCCCGATAAACTACCAGTAGGCGAGAATACCTCTATGAAATATAGCAGGTTTGGTAGATGACTAGGAATGAGCAAGTACTCTTATACAAGTAGTGTTTGTCTTTAGGGACAGGTACGAATGACTTCTTTCTGATGTGTGGGGATAGGTTTTGATAGAGATAAAGTAAATGCTTTGGAGACGCAGAAAGAGCCAGAGCTATTCAAGCCTGACGTACTAGTCCCATTTTCCAGACACATGGCACAGGTTTTGCAAACGTTAACTTGAATGATTCGATTCTATCATGTCTTAACGCTGTCCACCACTACCCCTCTGTTGGGAGTTTCTTTGATATCATGCGCGAAAATGCACTGGGCCCATTGCCCTCTAGACCGTGAATGCTCTTTTCCCCACGATGAGCGTCTTACCCTCTTTGAGGCGACGCCATTTCCGATGCCATCTCTCACAATCTAAACCAGATGGCCTTCCCGGCCGTCCCAATAGCCCACGGGCTCTCATCATGCCGAACTCCCATCTACATCGTGACGCAGCCGGGGTCCGCGACGGCGACACTTGCGCTCTGAATCCAAGTCGCTGTGGCAAGCTTCGGTATGAAGCCGCGCCAGATCCGTTGGCACGGAGCAGACTCGCTGAGATACGACGGGCTGAGCTCTGGGCGCGGGAAAATAATGCAACCCTGCCTTGTGCTTCACATAAAGTCGTCACTAGAGAGAGAGCTAATGTCAGTATTTATTGGCGGATAGCAGTCTTGAAAGATCAACTTACTCTCCGAAACCATCGTCCTCGTAGGTCTCGGTGTCAGCTGCGGGAGCACGGCTGACGACGGCGGAGACCTTGGTCTTGGCCGCCTTGCTCTTCTTGTTGCCGCCCTGGGCAGCCTTCTCTTCCTTCATCTTCTCGTTACCAAGGGCAGTGAGAGTGCTGGCAATCTTCTTGATCTGGTCGCTGGGCAGATCCTTCGCAAGGGTCTTGGAGAACTCTTGAAGGAAGAGGCCGTAGTGAGCCTTGCGGGCGTTGTTGGCGAGAATCGGGGTCAGCGTGGTGCGGAGGTGCTCGAACTGTGTCTTGGTAACGGGGTTGAAGAGCGGCATGGAGGCGATGTTGGCAGTCTTGGTAGGGTCGTTGGGGTCGATCTGCACAGCAGAGCCGGCGAGGACAGCCTTGCGACCGGCCGGGACTCCGATATCACCGAAGAGATCCTCGGCGTGCTTCAGGTCGGACTCCTTCTCGGTGCGGCGGAGGCGCTCACGACGCTCAGCCTCGGTCTCCTCCTCGCCAGAGTCGTCGGCATCGAGGCGGGCACGCTCCTCCTTCAGTTGGGCGATGCGCTCAGCCTTGCTCTTCTTGTTCTTCTTAGCCTCCTCGAGAGCCTTGGCCTTTGCTTCCTCGGCCTTCTTGGCCTTTTCGCGCTCGACCTCGGAGTCTTCGGCGGCATCCCAGGAGTCGAGAACCTTTATGAAACTGTTAGTGTACGGGGGGCAACATGGTAGGTCTTGTAGCTTCGGTAACGTACGTCATCCTCATCCTCCTCGTCTTCGAACTTGCGGCGGATAGGAACAGCGCCGCCAACAGGGGAGGCAGGGCCGGAGCTCTCCTCCTCGCTGCTCTCTTCGTCTATGTGGGGGACATGAAGTTAGTAGAGTCCAAAAGGTATAGCAAGTACGTCGTTTGCGGAGAAGAGAGGCAGGAGTTGCGCTGGCCAGTCTGGACAGATCATCGCGACATTTTGCCTCTCACGATTATTTGTGTGCGTGTGCGGTGCGGTACGGTGCGGGACAAGGCATAACTCACCCCACTTCTTAGGAGGCATGATGTCAGATTTAAGATGTCGGACGCGGGGCCAAAGAACAAAGATGCGAGAATCTAAAGTGCGGCGAGACGAAGACTCAAGATGTTATGAGGAATCTTTCCAGAGATGTTGGCTACGGAAAAGAAGTTTTTGGGCAGAGTTTGGGGAGTGGAAGGTCCGTCCGGTCTGGCTGAAGTCGGGAAGGAAACAAATTGTGGAAAACAAGGGGGCTCTGTGGTTGGGCAGGAAGTTGGGAAGGGACTGCAAGAGGGAAACCCAAGGAAGGGAAAACCCAGCCCAGCTCAGCCAGGCCGAAGGCGGCAGCGGCAGCACGGCCCAGTAGCGGGAGAGGTGCGCTGGAGCTTCGACTTCCAGTCTACTTACATTCACTCACGGACGCATGTCAAATGGAGGGCTCTGGTGCTTGCACCCATCTCACCATAGGAGCCGTCCCTCCTGCAGGCCTTCTTATTTGAGACATCGAATGAGGTGTTTATGCCGCTTGGGATATGTACGGGCAGGTGATGCTCTTTCTGCCCGTTTCACTACGTCTTTTAAGTGGTGAATGAGGGAAAAGTATGTAGTCTCGTCTGCCCTGGTCTTGAATTTTTATACTGCGAGTAAGCCTTAAAGATGAGCAACAGCGCATTTCCTTCAACAGAAGCCTCCAGTGGAACGAGACAACGTCCGCGTTGCGCACTCTGGTTGTACACTGTTGGAAACTTCAGGCGGGGTCATCATTGAACGTCGTGGAGGGGTTAGATCTTTTTTTTCCTAACCCCTGCCAGGTGGTGGTTGAAAGCACAACCCCGCCATCACCCTTGTTCCTTTCTGCCTGAGGTAACAGAGGAAGCTTCGCCATCCATATCCGTACACTTTCACGATGTCTCATTTTTGGCCTCATTGGCCTCAATAAACTAGATACCATTTCGAGTTAAATGGTCCACTCACACCAGCGTCATCTCTGTCGCAAAGACGATGCCCAGGCTATCAGGGAAGGAAAAGCCTCACTGAGGACTCGTGTACAACCCGCACTTCTATGCAGTGAGTCACCAAAACGACCCCGCGCCTGTTCTGTTTGGCTCGCGCACAGCCACACGGTCACTTTGCAGATGAGGGCGCCACTTCTACCACAAGACATGATCAGTTCGGTGTGCTCTCGCGCCCATCTAATGTACAATGCCAGCTCTTAGAGCTTCAATTACACTACAATGTGATTAGATAGTCAACAACTCCAAAATCAACAGCACGAACTCCACCCCTATCATGGTCGCATTGTCCGTGATGGAATCGGAAATAGGATACTGCGCCTGCTGACCCGTCCTCATTCCCAGCACGTTCTGCTCCTTGGCCTGGCTGGCAACCTTGATCGCCATCACACACATCAAAATCGCCCAGTATAGCACGTTGACGCTTTTGACGGTCCATCGCCACCGCGCCTCACCCCTGTAGACATGCAAACCGCCAAGCCAGGATGTTGTAGTCGTCGATGCAGCAGCAACGTGGAGGACCAGAGCGGCGAGTATGCCAACGTACGTGAAGGGGAGAAGACCAATCCCGAGCTGGGCAACGATAAGACGGGCGATTTCAAGTGATACCATAGCCAGTATGGCTACTATGAGTATGTAATAGATGATGCTGGCAATCTTGACGGCCACCGAGGTTGGTTTGGGTGCTGGCATCGATGTTGACGCCGATGTTGACACGGCGACTTTGTCTCCTGTCGTAGTCGCTTCAGCCGTGTTTGACGGCACAGCTGAAGCCGAGGCCGAAGCTCGCAGTGAGCGCAAACACAAGGGAAGAACAATCAACAGAATGATGAGATAAAGCCAGGTCGCCAGTGGGACAACCACAACATCAGCGAAACATGTTGTTGGCAGGTGGCTAGAAAGACCTGATTTAGGGCCCTGGAGATGACGGAGATTTGGTCAGCATCTTGCGGAAACGACACACTTACCGATAAATATCCAGCAACGATAATGGTGTATAAGGAGTGCAGACTTACGAAGCCTTCAGGCCGATGTTCACAGAGCATCGTGAGAGGTCGTCTTGGTATGCACCTTGGTATTCAGGGCAGGCAGGCAGGCAGGTCGATCCCTGCGTGTGGGTCGTGCAGAAGGCAACCCCTGCGGCATTCACCAGAGGCGATTCGAAAGGAAGGAACCTGGAGGCTGGTGGCTGATACCTGCCTGGAAGACGGAAACCCAAGGCACCCAGGGCACCCAAATTTGGTACGTACCATTTACTGATTGCGGGCCCACCTCACGTACCTCGTAAAACCTATAAGAAGGCCACCTCCCACCACCAATCTTTCCTGTTTCTCTTCTCTTTTTCTTCTTCATCTGAGTGCAAGGGCTTTACGCGTATCAGTGAGGATTCGTCCGAGATCGTGTTTTTGCTAGTTGAAAACTATAACTATGACCACTCCTGGTTGGCTTCGGCCGGCCAGGGAATTTTTGAACCCCAATTCTCATGAAGATTTTTTCATTTTGCTTTCGTTACTTGCGGTCCCTGGCGGATCGTGGTGAGGAAGGTTAACCACCCTCGAATGTGCAATGTGTTATGACGGCGATGCCACATTACCTACGATGACACCACTTAGCCAAATAAATCAATGAACGATTTGTCGAATGCTACAACAGGTCCAGCATACGAGCAACATTGATGCCTGATTATCGTATGTATTGCATCCGTACGCCGAATGCGTCGTGAGAAGGCGAAAATCCTGCGCATGCACGACAGCCAAGGGGTTGCGAACGCAAAGTGGAGCCTCGTGAGGCATCACAAATCGTCCACCGTGAATAGCCTCAGGTACCATCGGCATTATTAGTATCGTCGAGGTCATGGCCCGCTTCTCTAGCGTTCCGGATGTTGCTCCCCGCCAGCAGAGCCGCCTTCTCCCGATGTCCTCCGCATATTGACTCGAAAACAACCTCAAACTGCGCCAGCGTGACCAGCAAAAAAAAAAAAAAAAACCCCCCCCTTCACCTGATAGGCCATCAGGTATCTACGCTGCCGTGCCTGACATTACCTTATTTGGGCGTTTGACAGAATCCACAAAGATTTGAGCGGGTTTCCGCTGGATCCTTCTCAGTCTCAGATCCATCAAATGAGTCAATTCATCGATCCCATTTTATACCACGCAAAACATTACTAAGAACCCAGATATTTCATCCCTTTTTCTGGGATGTACTTCCATGCCAAGGGCGAGTAATTCTCATCGTGGACTTGAAGCAACGATACCCAAACAGAAAGCCGTTACGGCCCTACATCATGCATGGCATGGCCTTGGACCTCCGGAGAGAGTTTTCGGAGTCGGGGGTCGGGGGTCGGGGTCCGTTGACAAGTTTCCGCCCTGCTCCCCGGAGCATGTCGTAGATTGCTGTGATTGTGCCAGCTTGTCCAGTGCCAAACAGCACGGGATTTGAAAGTTTAGTCTGGCAGAGTGGCGCCCGGGCCTCCTCGGGCTCCAGAGCTTGTCAAGTGGAGATGAAAGGCGATCTTCAATCGCCGTCCAACTCTAGAAACCCCTTGATGAGCAAGATATCGACAAGTTTTCTTCTCTTTCATGACTCGAGGATTCTGTATAGTCCCTCTATGACTGAATTCAGTCGTATACGCGGACGTCTGGGGCGCATCTTTGGATAAGGTACCTATTCAAGTGGCATGGCAGAAAGTCGGTACATCGGCGGACTTCAGCTCCGTCATTTGACAAGATATCACTGCAGCTGCAAGCAATAGTAAGCAAACACCAAAACAAGACACCTTGTATTACGACGGCTGGTATCTGACTGGCAAAAAAAGAGACAACAAAAGTCCACGACTCGACGGAGAAGGGCAGAAAGCTGACAGTATCCCATCCAATCACAGCCCCACGAAAACGGAGCGGAACGAAATCTGTTAGCTGAAGGCTGCTGAGCAATGCCTGTGTGCGCCCGTGTACGTGCGAGCACTTGGAACAAAAACACTCACATCCCGATACGACCCGACATGGACGCCGCCAATCTGGTCCAGCTGACTTGACAGCATTTCCACACTTCTCCTCCGGTACGGTCCTTGTCGGTTCCGCTACGCCCTACGGCGTACTGGCATCCCTGTCTCCGCGGCCTTTGCAAATCCAAACTGCATTGCTTTCCCAACGCCCGCGCCTGCGCCCCCACTAAGACGGCGTTCCCATTTGTATCCGGAACATCGGGACCGTAAGACGTCAGAGGAGAGAATGCGGACCAAAAGGCTAATTGACTTTTCTTCCACTCGTTTTTGCACTGCCGTTTATTTGCTGTACCTTAGCGTATCCGGTCTCAGCGGCGTACTCTCGGCGACTTTTCCTGTGACTACCAACGCATGGATCACAAGTCTCCCTGAGGCTCTTACACCAGGTTTCTTTCTCTCTATCCCATGCGGGCTTGGGTAACCCGATTCCTCTTCGTAGAGGATCCCCTTCCATTCCTATTCTTCCTCGTCGGCTTGGGTAATCATGTCCTCGCCGACAATCCAGATTTGGATACCCTGACCATGGCTCATGCCGTTGTGTAATGTCTGCCATCTGACAGGTTTTGCTTGCTGCTCCCCTTCCCACCCCCTCCCCCCACCCACACACACAGAGTCATCGCCGTATCAATAACTACCATGTATAACCACCACACCCTACAAATGGTATATAAGACTCTGAGCCGTGAGTCGTTCCTCAGGCCGTATGACTCTCGTTCCATCATCACCAGTATTCAAGTACATTCTTGACATCACTATATCCTGTCATCTCTCCTAGAGAGTCACTCGACTTACACATACAACACACCGACTTACAGCAAAGCAATCTACCTTGCCATACCCTTCCCCAATGCTGTCATCAAGAGCATCAACCAGACTCTGCGCGCCGAAACAAGCAGCCCATCTCGCCCGGGCCGCGGCAGCACTCCACAACACCACCACCACCACCTCCTCCTCCTTCACCGGCCTCCGCATCACCGCCGCCTCGTTCCAGCAACATGTAACCCCCACCAGCACCACGACCACGGGCACTCGCTCCTTCTCCACAACGCGAGCAACACAGCTCCGCGACTTCTTCCCGGCCAAGGAGACGGAACACATCCGCCTCACGGCGCCGGCGTGGCCGCACCCGGGATACACGGAACAACAAATGCACGACATTGTCCCGGACCACCGCAAGCCGCGCACCGTCGGCGACTGGGCGGCGTGGAAGTTTGTCCGGCTCGCGCGGTGGTTCATGGACCGCGCCACGGGTCTCGGGTCCGAGCAGCAGGTCGACAAGAAGAATCCCACCACGTCGCTCGTGGCCGATAAGCCGCTTACCGAGGCGCAGTGGCTGGTGCGGTTCATCTTTTTGGAGAGTATTGCCGGAGGTGAGTCCCCCCCCCTTTCCCCCATTTTTCCTCTCTTCTTTTCTCTCTTTGCCCTTCATGGGAAAAGGTGCTTTGCAAACAGTGAGGAATAGCAAGACTGACTGTATATCCGTGACATAGTACCGGGCATGGTCGCCGGCATGCTCCGCCACCTCGGCAGCCTGCGCCGCATGAAGCGCGACAACGGCTGGATCGAGACGCTCCTCGAGGAGAGCTTCAACGAGCGCATGCACCTCCTGACGTTCATGAAGATGTCGGAGCCGGGCTGGTTCATGAAAGTCATGATCCTCGGCGCCCAGGGCGTCTTCTTCAACGGCATGTTCCTGTCGTACCTCATCTCCCCCAAAATCACCCACCGCTTCGTCGGGTACCTCGAGGAGGAGGCCGTGCACACGTACACGCGCTGCCTCTACGAGATCGACCAGGGCCTGCTGCCCAAATGGTCCGACCCGAACTTCGTGATCCCCGATATCGCGGTGCAGTACTGGAAGATTCCCGAGGGCCAGAGGACGATGAAGGATTTGATTTTGTACATCAGGGCCGATGGTGCGTAGTTGTTCCTTCCCGCAATACATATTGCCCCCTTAGAAAGGAAAAAATGTGGTGCTGACGATTATTCTGCAGAGGCCGTTCACAGAGGCGTAAACCATACCCTCAGCAACCTCAACCAAAAGGAGGATCCGAACCCGTTTGTCAGCGAGTACAAGGACGGCGAGAAGCCCAACGCCGCGCTGAGGGCACAGGGATTCGAGCGTAACGAGGTCATCTAAAAGATCTTTGGGGTTCAATTACTACGGCCACCCGCAAGATATCAGCAAACAACTTTTTCTGCTGCACGACCATGTTTATGGCCCTTTTCGGGACCATGAAGCATCCGTCTCTACAAAACCACGAGACCTTTCTCCTTGCGTTTGCTAAAGAAGAAGAAGAAGAAGAAGAATTAGACTTGTAAGAAAAGAAGAAGACCGATGATACCACTAGAACAGGGAAACTGGCCGGCGTTTTACGGAGATTGCGTTTGTTTAGGAGACGGACAGCCCCCTACTCATTGTATACTATAGGGAAAGAAAGATCAATCGGTCTTGGGGTTTGGTGGAACTTTTGAGATTTCCAAACGTTTTGTTTTCATTTTTTTCTTTGTTCTGAGAGGAGACGTTCCATACACAGACTTCATGTAGAAAAGAGTTGCATATTCAGCCTTATCAACCAAATGTTGTTTCAGAATTCACGAGAGGTCGACCAAAATATGGAGGGTTAATATTGACCCAATACAGAGACTTGGTATCGGAAAGATGGGGTCCTATGACGGGTTCAAATTGATGCCGCGTTAGAGAGACAATCTCACATGGCATTAGAGGATTTCTCATTCCCCATCTAAAAACTGGCGTAATCGCTCAGAGAGCCGCTGGTGTAAAAACCTGCTGCCATTGCGAGCATCTCGTTACATTCAGTGGGGACTCTGGATGTCAGTTTCTTCTCCAGAATGATCGACGAAGCACAGCCACTCAAGGGGGTAGGTAGACAAGATCTCTGGCGGGGGGCTGTGGCTTGGCCTCTGGTTTCTTTTGGGATGAACGACGTCTCATCGGATGAAAAAAAGCCAAAACAAAAATCCAATATGGCTGCCTAGAGTTGAAGGTCTGGGCATGGCGTGATTTTCAGAACTCCAACCTCCAACCTCCAACCTTCCAGCTCAGTGCTGACAAAGAGTTCCAATTCAGAAGTCTTGTTTTCTTAGCTCCGTCACGTTTTGGCGATATGATACACTACCGTATCTCCGGAGAAAGTGACACTGACAACGCCTAGGGCGACGCGACGACTGTCATCACGGGTAGTGTTGTTGTTGGATACATGCCAGGTCCCAACCATGCGGTCCGGTTCGTGTTCCGAAAGGTTTTTCTAAAATTGGACATGAGCAGCCATCCAGCTCCCCGCCCTGAGCTTTCGAGAGAAGGGCCCGCTCCGGTATGGCATGGGTCCCGAGCTTCGCGCGGTGTGTGGAGAAATCGAAGGGTTCCAAAACTTCCACAGGTCAAGTCCCTCGCTTCGATCACGGCCTTGGATTGCCGGATGGACCTGAAACGGGGCACCTTTTCTCGAATAAGCTTCTTCCTGCCGCGCGGTGGATTTGCAAAGAACCATATGCTTGATGTCATTGTCATATCGGGGAGTGAGCATGCCCGCATGGCCTGGCACGCCTGGCATTTTGGGGGCCAAGTGGCCACGAAGCCGGCGTGGCTGTGTCGGGCGCGATTTCGCGTCCTGCAGCGACGCTAGATTTGCGACGGGGTCGTCATTGGCCAGTTGTACAGGGAGACATCGTGGACCGTAGGCACTTGAGAAAGTTTGGGGAATGGAAAGCCATCCGGTAAAGACACTTGATCTCATAGTGGTTCATATCGTCGAACAGGGCTATTGGTGCTGGTTGTGATATGGTGATGGGGTCCTTGTTTCACGCGGGACTGCGCCTCATTGTAGAAGACCCGTCCAAGACGAACGAGAAATGCCGGCTTCGAGCTTGAGACTTGAGTTGGCTCGAGGGGCTGCGAGACAATCGAGGCAAGTAACCCGGCTCCAAGATGTTTCGTGATAGCTCATATGAAATGTGACATGAATGGATATTCGAGGGGTCAGCTTCATGGCAAATCTGGTGGCACAACTTGTGCCTTGCACCAAGGGACGGGACGGTGAGACTCGTACCTGAAGATGACGACGCTAAGTTGTGCTGCAAGTCGCAAATCATGTTTGTATGGTGGCTGCAACTCATGTTTGCACAGCTTGATCGATGGTATGGCGCTGGGCATCTAATGTTTAGTGCGATTGGACGTCGCTTGTGGCAGTGCGGATGGCATTTAGTCTATTCGTCCGAGTATTCGATCGAAGTAGTCAGTTATAGGCTTTGTTAGACTCGAGCTACATTCGATGCGTACCTGGGAGGAATGCATGTGCCGGCCTTGCAGAGAGATGCAGAAGGGTGCACAAGGGTGGATTGAACATTGCTGTGCTCGCTCACTGACGAATAGGCGAGCCGGCGGAGCAAGTAGCTGTGATGAGCGTCAGCATCCTCTTGAGATGCTTGGAATCCGGATTGCTTATTCGGGGGAAACGATGTCGGATCCAACCTGCGTGCCCACCCGCGAGACATCGGCACGTTGGCGAGCTGACGGCAGCTCTAAGTGGTGCCAGTTTTTGATGAAGTCTGCATTTGACTGTCCACTCTCATCTCATGTTTGATGCTCATTGCTGCTCCATCATCCATGTGGGCTGCTCCATATGATGTCCACGTCGATGTCGGTAAGAGGAAGATCATCAGTGTAGTTCAGCATGGGAGGTAGACGGTATGTTGGCGAGTCCTTGACCAACGCCCATGTTGATTGGTGACGGTGCGTGACAGTGTCTACATCGTGCATCTAGCAGAGCTCCATCGTGTATCAGGTCGTCTAATGAGCTGGACGTTGGAAGTGAAAAGTGGGTGGATGGGACCTGTCAATCAGCGTCTGACAGACCGGCAACTAAGGCAGTCTAGACCAGGGCGAGAATAACAACGACAGCGATGACGACGGTGAGGGCGCAGGGATCACCAGTGACAGGTGACCGGACTCTTGAAGCCGCCGATGCGGTTGGGCAGTAGAGTGCGTCGGTGTGTCGAGACATGAGACTCTAGATTCTAGAGCCAAAACCATAGTGCTAGAATGCCCTATGCCGTAGCATCGGTGTGAGTGGTGTAGTATACTTCACAGAGTGTAAATGGCTGGCTTGCGATGGCATGATGAAGATGCCTCTTTCGATGCTGACTGGTCGGAAGCATGTGCAGGAGAAAGAATAGATGCCAAGGCTAGGCGAGGAATAGTGTAATTTCAAATTATTGGGCCAATGTCAAGCAGCTGGAAGCCAGTGGATGGCCACGGACGGGAAACAAGAAACCCACTCAAGGCAGATTCGAGAAGCAAAAACGCCTAACCCAACACTTGCCGTCACAAGTACACAGTAATCCTTGGAGGGGGTTTGGGGCCTTGAGCCACCCCCCCTGTGCCCCTGTGCCCCTGTGGTGAAGGTACTCTCAGCCAATCCTACTGCAAAGAGGTACTTTCACCTGAGTGAACAGAAACGCAACCATTGACACACCAGGACCTGGAACAGCTGGAACAGGGAACCAGATGGCAGCCAAGTCTGGTAAGTTGCAATCAACTTATTGATGGAGAGGGAGAAAGAGAGAGTGAGAGACGGCGTAAGCCAAACCAGAGTCAGACAGATGGACAGGATAATTTGGCGGAAAGGTCAAGTGCTTGAGGTAAAGTGCCATGTTGAGGCTAACACTTTTAGCATCTGCTTAGGGGTGGTTCCGAGTCTAGAGTCTTACGTGTAAGCAGGCAGACCCAAGACAGGAATAGACATCTACTCATTATATTTGGGGGAGAAGACGCTTTGTAATATGATGAGCATCGTCAAGTTGTAAAAGTTGTCTGCTGAGATGATGGTGGAACACGAAGGGATGAACGGGATGCGATGCTGGATCAGATGTTGGAATTTGGATGCCCAGTCCTGTCAGGATAGGAAGCAAATGCCCGTCGAGATGCCCGCCCAGCTCCCCTCACGGGTGACAGTGACAGTCTCACCAGATTTCGAGTCTTGGACTACACTTACACTGTACGAATACACAGTCGGGGTGCATTATCTGGATAGGCTGGATTGTGCCTGTTCGAAACAAGACCCCTATCTACCCCTCCGACCGGCCGTTTCCCGCCCGTTTCTTTGACCCCTAGCCATCATGCACTAGCAAAGCAAGGTTTCTGCAAAAGGGCCCTCTTCTTGCTGCCTAGATGTTTTATTAGTCGGCATGCCTGGGTCCACGATGCCAACAATGTCCATGTCGAGACTCCCAGCACGAGCTTATTACAATTTACCTGCCAGCATCGATCCAAGGCCCTCCCTTGCGTTGTTACTACTACTACTACAGTGTTTGAGATCTGCTGGCACGGCTGGATTGATTGTTGGCGCCCTCCGTCGGGACGGGAGACGCAGAGTCAGAGGAGAGAACTTTGCTTCTAAAGATTATCTGCGCATCAAACCGTCTTTTGCTTTTCGCATCTGAGCTTTCGCATTCTCGTCTCGTCGCATGTGTCACAAGAAAACAAGCGAGCAAATACACACATCCGCACACCAAAATCGTCTTCAACAGTCATCAGCAGCATCTGGCAAAGGCTGGACAGCGGACCTAGCTCCAAGCTACACCCCCAAAGTGACGGTTGAAACCTTTTGAGCTTTGGACACCGAGCAACGTCCTAGTCATTGCTGCTGAATACTTTACCTAGGTAAAAGGTGGCAAGCAAAGGACCAACTTACCATCTGACTGAGAGCTCCGAGAAGCTACGATAGACGCTGACCTGTACTTCGTACTCCGTACAGGCAGCTGGTCGTCTAGATCCCTGCAGCGCAAAAAGAGGCAGAAGATATTTTTGGATTTTACCTGTCGGCTCGTAGCATACCATCGTGCCGGATCGCAGTCTGCTCCACGTCTTTGCACGCGCGGCCAACATACACTTCAACCAGAAAGCAACGAAAGACTGACAGGTACCTACGAGAGGTACCTTGCCTACCTTAGCTGGGTAGGTAGCTCCCGTCAGAGAAGGAGAGGGAGCTTGTTACTCTGTACCCAGAAAACAAAGAAGCCCGTCACCTCAGCGTGGAAAGTGATAGCACCAAGCGCGGATCAGAGCAAGCAGCAAGCGGAAAGCACCAACATCCATCACCTAAGCGCATGCCAATCCGA